CCCCCCCCCATTACTGATCTATAGGTTGTGGTATTTTCAAGCTGAGACAGATATTGAAGAAGCTCACTTAGTCAGCTTGCTGCCTCCTCGATACTCTGCTGTAACACATAAAGCTAAAAACCTAGAATTGGCCGCTAGGTTTTTGTGTACCTCCACTTCTGAACATTTTTGAAATTATAAATCTATACATGTTACTACTTCTGTTATTTTAAGCTTAAATTCTGAAGTTTAAATTCTGTATTGTTTAAATGACATTTCCAATAAACTGTCATATTGTGTCTGCAACTTTTAAAGTGGCAAACAATCTAAACATATATTAGAAGACATATTGTAATATATTGCTTTGAAGCAAAACAGCTCCAACTCATGTTTTGTTAATGTGTTGCAACCCTGTTCCTATGGTTTGATCGACAGGTGTATGATGGGGAGAACACTTCATCCCGTCTCCTTGGTAACTTTACACTTGACAGGATGTTGGGCGATGTCATCAACAGTACGTCCAATCACCTGTGGCTGGAGTTCAATAGCAATGCATCTGGAACCAATCTGGGTTTTCGCCTCACTTACACAAGTGAGTTAAAAGCACATTTTATTTATTTTATTTATTTTTGCTTTACATACCTTGCATTACTGTTTGTACTTTTATATGTATAGTGCCAGGTTTACATGGGTTTGTCCTCCCAACAGTCTGAAGGATGCTCCAATTCTTGTCATGGCTCTAAAGATAATCTTAGGAGATATTCCTGCCATGTGTGGTGCATTAGTGGTCTAGTAAGCACAGGAGGACAATGGATGGATGCTTTTTAATGTCATGTGTTTTTAAAAAAATCAGTTGACAATTTTAAAATATTGCCATGCATAAAACAGTTGTTTGATTTATATTATTTCACTTTTAGGCCTTAGTAGAATTGTATTAATATTTTTTGACAAATTATTGTTAAGAGTGATGGTAAAACTGCTAAATATAGTTGTCCTTGGACATAATCTGCAGCTTCCCTGTACTTCAGTCAAGAGAACTCTGAGTGTTACTGTACACGGCTGAGTAAAACAGATGTTACATACTAGTTTTTCTCAGTCAGCAATTTACAAATTTAGAAACAATTAACAGTTGAATAGAGWGAGGTTTTTGTTTCAGCCCTTTTTTGTTTTGTAATTTCTAAATAAAAGACAATATAAATGCTTGAAACAGGCTATCCTTTTCTTTACAAACACCATATACACACACCACACTCATCTAAGTTTAAAGAGAGCCTGTTAAGAGTGCACAACCAGCCGTTTTGTAAGTCAAAGAGGCTATTAAGAGAACATTTATCTGCAAGTCATTTAAAGAAGGTGAGAATGACATCTGGAGTAGAAGACGAGCTGAATGAGGGGGACAAACAAATGAATATAAATTGTATGTAGATATTATATATGCTCTGTACGTCAGTAAAACCATTAAACGACCCTCAATCTGCAAGCCATTAAACTGGAGAAGGTGACACATACTTTATAGTTCCGCCTTTACAGATGAGTTGATGCTTAGATAAGAGTGATTGATAGATTTAGGTTAAAACTAGAGGAAGGATATGGAGGCAAGGAACAATAGTTGGACAAAGCACAGCAAAGGCTGTTTTAATAGAGCAATAAGAATTCACAGAACATCTACACAAGACAATAACAAGAAAGGTGAACAGAAGTGGGTGCATATGTTTAATGGATTATGGGGTGAGATTGACATTTGTAGACATATTGTTCATGCTTATTTAAACKTAAATGTTTCTTCTTGTGAAAGTGATGCTTATAACACAAGGCTATGTATATAAAGGGATAACCTCTAWTCAAAAACTACCAACAAAGTGGTCTAACAATATAACACGTGACGAGTTGGGAGTGAGAATGGGCTGAACAATGAGACAACTGTTTATTTTACATGTGATCAGTTTGCTTGATTGTGATAAGTCCAAAAAATTTACAATCCATGAAAGTAAGATATTTGCTGGAATCCTGAATTGTGAGGTTACTGCTTTTCAGAATCTATGGAAATGTATGCCTTCAAACAAATAAAAAATAAAAAATAAAAAATGTATTGTATGCATTTGGTTGTGATTGAGATCAAACAGAAAGGCCTCGTTCGTCTCTTGTCTTTTGTTTACGCTGTAATATACACTCTAACAAGTTTTTACTTTTGTATAAAACTCATGACAAAGTTGCCTTAAAACATTTCATACTCTGTATAACACAAACACATGCACACACGCACACACCTACCTGTACCGGCTGCTGTGTTAGCTTCCTCCTAGCTGGGAGGTGGTCTTTCCTCTCTTGTCTTGGCAGTAAAGGGGGATAATTGTACATCTCCCATTTGTAAAATCCGTCTTCTCATTTCTGATGCTGGCTTTTGAATATTCTCAGGTTAGAAATGTCGATTGCAAACGCAAGTGTGAGCTTATAGCTAAGTTTTGCCTGTATAGCTATGATCTACAGCTGTCACCTTTCCTCCTCCAGGAAAATGGACAAAAACTAACTACTCTATCGTACCTGCTGGTTAGTTGACACAAAGGCACACAACAGAACTCGTGTTTTATATCAGTAGCTCACAGATGCTTTAATTTTTGTGACTTTTTCACGGCATGGTATTAGGAGCTTACACTAAAAACATAGGCAGTAACTAGGAAGTGGAAGGGAGGAGCGTGGTAAGAATTTTACCAGAAATATGTCATTAATGACCATGGCATATAGGTTATTCATTGTAGAGTCAGAATACAATTCTGATCAAGTAAATATCAGAAACCAAAATGTCTGTAGTAAAGCCAACATCCGTCACAATAGATAAAACAGTGTAAGTGGCTGTATCTTTTTTGCACAGCTTGTTTAGTTCCTTGGGGAATGTGTGGTGTTCAGACGGGACTTACTTTGACAAAAAAAGGCAAAACAATGCATTTATTCTCCACAATATAATCCTTTAAGATTAATCCCCATCTGAGAAAACTTTACTTACTTCATTTTTTCTCTCCATGTATTGTTTGGCTGAAGTTGGATTCTCATTTGTAGTTAAACAAATAGAATATTACCACCCAGAGCCCTGTAGTGTTACATTAGTGTAACTTAAGCCAAACGGATGCATAGCAAATTAAAGCATATTGCAAAGAGGTGCCATCACACAGTGGCATATAGCATCTTCATATAAAAAATGTGGCAAGCATGCTGGTGCAAGCTGTATACRTTTTGAACAAGTTACCAGCATGCTGATATATAATGGGATAAATTGTCA